TTGTGGCTGCGTTTTCCACAGCCCCCCGGGTCAGGGGAGGATTTCCCTAAGCTCCATTCCGAAGGGTAAAAGGGAAAGGCGGCAGATGTGGGGTAATTGCATTTGCAGGAAAGTGGGGCACATGTGCCGGTCGACTGCATATTAAGTGGCCACTGGCCAGGGCACTTCAGCTAGTTGGTCAGTGGACATAAAGTGCAAGTCCTGCTATTAGCCAGCCTGGAATAGCCCCGATATTATCCGCAAACCGTTGTCAATTATCACCTATAAATACGGAACGCCCCCCTGAGATCCTCATAGGGGAGATGGTGAGTCATTCAGCTTGTCATTCAGCCAATTACCTGGCCCAAGGCAGACAAAAGCAGCCTGAATACTCTATTTATTATATGAATATATAGATGGATGGATGGATGCATGGCAACGATCACGATCCCGTCCGTTCATTCATATTTCTTTATGCCCAAATATTGCTCATACTTTGTCTATAAGTAGCCGGGTGTTTTTGAGTGTGGTATGTAACAGCTGTTTGGGCCAGAGAAAGAGAAAAACTGCAGAAGCGACAGATTCTAAATCGGATTCTGTGGCAACTTGGTTCCCGCTCTCTTGGCAACTTGTCGCTTTCCAGTCTCTCGAATCTCGAATGAATTCAGCGAGGGATCCCTGAAATGAATTCCCCAAACGAATTCCGCCCGAGAGAACCCAGAAAAGAGCGAGTAAATTGGCTAGAATATGCCGTTGATGGTGGCGGGGATTTCTTTTCGCTTTGCAAGCGTTTGGCGTTTGGACGTGTCGCTCGAATGTCGCGTCGGACCCGCACAATAAAGTTAGTTTAACTGGGCGTATACGCAACGGGGCTCCACATCCGCAGAGGTTTCTCATCCGCCCTGTGGTGCGGGGAAAAATCTTATTTCTCCCGTCGTCGCCGTCGCTTGGGTTGTCGTTACTACGCGATCCCCACATACCGATACCGATCTCGAACGACCGCCAGTCGCTGCCCGCCGCTCGTGCGTTCCGTTTCGCTCTTCACATCCGCACATCCGCATTCGCATCCGCATCCGGAGCGGAATCCGCTCCTCCTCCTTCTCCAAAAAGAAATAGTGATAATCAGCTGACCGGACGAGCGTTCTTTTGGAATTAGCTGCATTTTCAAGGCACGGGACTTTCAACTCAAAACCAAACTCTCGAACCTCAGCATTTTCTACTTTCTGCTATTTTTAACATGTGTGTTTGTGCGGCCAAACACACACACACACACACTCTTTCCCCCATTTCACATATTTTTTTCTTAACAAATTTGCCCGAGTTTCGCTGCTGCTGTGCGTGTGTGAGTGGAAAATTTCGTTGCGTTAAATAAGTTATAAAACAATATGGATTAACGAGAAAAATTCAATGGAGAAATGAATTAATTACAGAAATTCTACCATTTAGAGTGGGTAAATCAAGGGAAATAAATCCATGGCGATCAATAGGCCAAGGAGTCAGCCGAGTGTCACTGCGGATTTTCAGCCTGCCACTTGCAGTCTTCAGGGAAAATGCAGTGACCACAAGAGAAAATTCGTGTCAAGGGAAAAACCAAAACCCAAAACCAAAAGTGCAGAAAGGGGCGGACTAACTACAGTAGTCGGCTGCCCGTTGGGTGTTAATACTTAATTTATGTGAACCTATAAATAATTTCAATTTAGAGAATGTGCTGCTGTTGACTGGCTCGGCCATCTTCTATATAATATAGTGCGAGTTGTACGAAAAATATGCTAAAAATACCGAAAACTGAACGCTGCGTGTTCGCTTTCATTGTGTGAGTGAGTGTGTGTGTCAGAGTGTGTGTGTGTGTGTGAGAGAGAGAGAATGCAGTGAAAATTGATTAAAATGCAGGCTATCTAAACTAAACTGAGACGAAGGCACAATGCTGCTAAACGCATCCAACAAACAAACGCTCAGCTCATCAACAACATCGACAACGTCAGTCAGTGGACTATTATTTAATTTTCTATCCATCTAGCCCAAGGCAGAAATAACGAAGAAAAACACAAAATAAATGAAATGAAAATAAAATAAAATAAAGCCCAAGCAAACGCGGGCGGGGACAGTTTTGGCAGAAAATGAAAAGAAAATGAAAAACAGGCAGCAAGCCGAGTGAAAATGAAATAGACTTTGGCAAGCACTAAAATACGGTTGAACAATATTACGAATATTTTCGTTGCTCGAAATTCGGCGAGCGAATTTCAGTTCAAATCTGTTGTTCTCGACTGAATCCCATTTTGTTTGCCTTTTGGTTTTGGTTTTGCTTTCGCTTTAGCTTTGTTCGAAAATCTTTTAAAATAACAATGATACATGCCGCCCCGTCTTCTGCAATGTGTTTTCTGGCCGCTGGCCTGGGTATAAATAAATGCTCATACGTAAATGTTCTTTATCAGAGAGTGATAATATGGCCTGGGAAATATTTACTGAGGCTGCTCGGGATCGGTTGCTCTGTTTGTTGACTAACTTAAATTTATGGTTAGACCAGCATAGCTGTTCAACTCATTGACTTCTTATTTGAATTATGTGTACAAGGGAATTTGGAATCATCACTGGAATTATTGTTGTTCTACTGTGAAATATTTTGTGTCAATTTCTATTCATTTTTTTGGCTACAAAAGCAGTTTTTACATTTTATCTTAATAAGTTCAAAATAATAACATTTTATGCATCAATTTTTTTTTTTTTGGGTAGTAATGAATTCTTTAGGACATTTCAAAATATTTGATTTTATATTTTTATAAGAAAGCTAAAAAAATTATGGACTTTGTTTTTCATTTAACTAATTACATTTTTTTTTAAGATTTATGAATTTTGTTAATTTTCAAACATTTAGCCCAAAATTAATATATCATACATTGGATTTTATGTGGGATTGATATTAACTTTATAAGAAAAGGGTTATGTTATGAGAAAGTGATGCAGAAAGAATTATTTGATGTCGCTGCCTTAAATTAAAAAAAGGTTAATATCTTAATAGGAAGTTCATAAACCCAGACAGATGTATGTATTTATGTATGAAAAACAAATTATTTTTGAATTTACCATTAAGAAAACATAAGACGAAACATTAGGCGTAAAGGGTTTTAAAATGTCTAAAAAAAAATATTTCTATTTAATATAATTTAATGTGCTGAAAGAATACGATAAACTTTTTTTGTGGGGCATTGTAAGGAAATGATTGCTACTAGTTAGAAAGGAGTACAGCGCTCCCATCAGTGCCACTTTCCAGCAGGTGTGCAAACATAACTCACCTGGCCATAAACACACTCCGCCTGTTGCTGCAATCTTCTGGCCAAATCTCTCCAGCTCGGCATCAATTTTATTTAAAACAAACCCCGGGAAGCGGGGAGAAGGCTGCCCTGGTTGCGTGTGTTTTCATCATCATTAATGTTTAAACAAAACAACATTGCCAGACTCTGGTAGGGAGAAAGAGAGACACACTTCTTTGTTCGGAGCCCCCTCCTCCTCCGCGAACTTTTCTCGATTTTGCTCGGTGTGTGTACGCTGTCTATTAATAACAAAGCTTCTGAAGAATTCGCCTCTCCTGGCGTCTTGTCTCGACTCATCTCGTTTCGAAAAACCCAAATCGTTTTGGCGTCGACCGCAAAAGAACAATAAAAGCGAGAAGCAGTCAGAAGCTAATGCCGACACACAGACTAAAGCCCAAATGGAGCTGAATGTTTGCCGAGTACGTCGTGTTGCAAGATGATTAAAGTAAACAAGAGTCCGCAGAGTCCAATAGTTCAAATGGCAGTGATGTAGCATTCTTCATTTCAGTGAATTGCAATTCATCTGAACGCTCGATTGAGTGGATATTTCAAGATTTTCGCATAATTCTTCTTTATATGGCCCTTTGTCTTTAGTGTGGAATGCTGCCGTTTGCTGCGTTTTCGCCTGCCTATTCTTTTTGTTGAATTCGTTTGTGCTCGGATTTTCACGCATTCCTTATAAAACATGCCGAAATTGTATGGCCGGGGAAATCACCGAAAATTAATACATAAATCTTTATTTTTATTCGTTTAGTTAAAGGTCTTAAAGGCAGAAATTCATGAAAAAAGAACTAAAGAACTGAAAAATAATAATAAACTCTGTAGTGTACGGAATCTGAGATTACTCATCACAGAAAATTCCTCGGGCTCCAGTTGGAAAACACATGGCCCTGCCTGAAATTGGGAAAATCCCAAGAATCGTAATCCAAGTGACAACTGCAAAGGAGGCCGAAACCATGAAGACACTGAAAGTGCTTTTCGTGGCATTCGCCTGCTACTATGCACTTTTCGTAATTTTCTACTACTGCTATCGGGCGTACCTGTGAACGTATATATTCAAATATATATAGAGAGATATATATGCGTGCCAGGGAAACAGCTGAGCAAAACCACCACCCACTCGAGAGGTGGTCTGCCATTGAGAATTTCGGCCTTTGACGTGGCTCGTGCACACACCAAAATCCCCATATTCGAGTACACATGTATGTAGAATCCGCTGTATATATGCGATGATAAATTCGGTTGCCGCCAGTGCCAGGCAAAATAAAAACGAAACTCGCTGAGAGCGGCCGTTGAAACCGCAATCGAATGCAATTACACCGAATCCATAATGCATCGTCACCTCACATCATCGTCATCCTCTCGCCCTCGTTTCTCTCCAAGGTATTTTCCAACCCTATCCCCCCCAAAACAGCCCCCTGCACTCATCCCATAAAATTTTGTTAGGAACCACAGATCTTTGAAGACTTTCGGTAGATAAAAATCAATTAAACGCCACCTATAAATCACAAATTCCCACTCCCATAGATCCGTTTCGCTGATTTATTTACTAAAGTCCAGCAAATGTTTATGCATTTCACTTACAACCGAGCGATATTTTTATGTGCTCAATTTCCACGTAAATGCAATTGCATAATGCAATAAATTTCCTGGAAATACCAAATCAACTCCCCTAGAATCTAGCTAATCTAATTTATTGTTTTTCTCTTACAGATCACTCGCCGACTTATTTTTGGTAAATGACCAAGAATGGCCTACGACATTAGCATAGAGAAACATAACCGCAACTGTCAGAGGACATTGACATCGGACGCTCGGTTTAAGCAACTTTGAAGTCGTGCCGGGAAAATCGAATAATAAGGCAACAAATTGCAACTTTCGCGTTTCAGTGAAAAACCCAACAATTTAACCACTCACACAAAAACACACAAGATATATTAACTAGCCCTAAAGCACCACTAGATATAAGCAGAGCAAACGAAACCAAGCGAAACGAACTGTAGAAACTAGACCATTGCAACCAGGATCAGATGAGGCAGCAACAACAACGGCCAGTGCAACAATCGAGCGGAAAATCAATGAGCAGCAGGCGGAGGCACAAAAAGCCCAAGGCAAAATCAGCAGTTTCGACAACATTAAACCGCCCTGAACTTTAGAACCCGAGGCTCGAGTATGCAACAGGCTGGCCAACTGACGCCGCAGCAGCAACAGCAACAGCAGCAACAGCTCCTGCAACAGCAGCAGAATGGCGGTGACCTTGCCGCCTATGCCGCCTCACAGGCAGCGGGCGGTAGGCGTGGCCCCATAAACGGCGGCCGCTTCGACTTCGAGGACGGCGGCACCTACTGCGGCGGCTGGGACGAAGGCAAGGCCCATGGCCACGGCGTCTGCACGGGTCCCAAGCACCAGGGCGCCTACGCCGGAGCCTGGAACTACGGCTTCGAGGTGTCCGGATCGTACATTTGGCCCAGGTGAGTAAGATGAGGTATTCGTAAGGACTACCCAGCCCCTAGGTACTCATTGTTTAAAACACGTGCTTTGTTAGAGGATTTACTTGATCAAAAAATAGCAAAAAATTAAAATAATTTGTGGATATTTATGTGCTTAGAAATTAAATCGTATCTACCTGCGCTTAAAAACATCATTCAATATTATAAAATAGTCTTCCGATTATATGATGTGGTATTCTTAAATAGATCACACTTCTATTTACTTAATGATTTATGAAAACAATTTTTGTTCAATCAAAGATTACTAGAAATCTGATGTTTCTCATAATTTCGAAGGTCTATTTGCCTTTAAAAATGTTAGTTCTTAACTTATATATTTATTTTAAAATCAAAGCATGCGCGGATCTACGGGGGGTGATATGGGTGAAAAATGAAAGGAATATTAGTATTCAAAAAGTATGCAACAAAAAATTTGTTCTGATATCACCCCCCACAACAAAATCCTAGATCCGCCACTCAATCAAAGCAAAATGCCAAACACAAACCATTTTTTCTTTCCTCAGACAGACAAAAAGAAACTCAGTAACAAGAATTACATTTAAAATAATATTTTATTTTAAAATGCGAATTTACCATTAAAATTTTTTTTGAAATTCGAAATCTATTTGAACTCTTTTATTGTCCGATATTGAAAACTGTATTTTCTATGACGATTTTTGTGGTAAAAGATTTCCTTATTTAAGGCTTTGATAATAAAACACAGGAAAAGTGCTAAAGCTTTGAAAAAATATCGACAGTTAGCTATTTCTCGATATTTAAAAGGAGACATATATCGAAAACATCGATAGTTTTCAATGCCGTTCAGGCTGCCATATTGACCTTCTCACCCCCACCATCCACTTACAGCGGCTCACACTACGAGGGTCAGTGGCAGAATGGACGCCGCCACGGGCTGGGCGTGGAGCAGATCGGGCGGCAGATCTACCGCGGCGAGTGGTCGAAGGACGGGCACAAGGGACGCTACGGAGTCCGCGAGAGCACCGTGTCGACGGCCAAGTACGAGGGCACCTGGAACGAGGGCTACCAGGACGGGTCCGGATGCGAGACCTACGCGGATGGCGGTGAGTGATGGACGACGGGACGTGGGGCGCCATGCGCTGCGTATACGTAATGTGCATGAGATCATTTTGCGTTTGGTTTTTGGCTCACTTTCAAAACGGCGGGGCGAACATGAGTTCGTTCTCTCGCCGTTGTTTTACTTTTTGACGTTTCTGTAATCATTTCTGGGAACCTAGGGATGAGTGTGTGTGTGTGTGTGTTGGGCACACACATCCTTACATATCCACGTCCATCGACCAACCGACCGACCCAGCCTGACGTCATATTTTATTTGCCCGCGCAGTTCAATGATATTCCGCCTTTTTGTACATTTTTTCTGCATGAGTGCGGCTTTTTCTGCGGGAAATTCACAATCGCAATCGGGGAAAAACACATGGCCAGGCAACCAAGTGCCGCCGGCCGAGCTGGCCAAGTTCTAACCGTATTCACAATTAGGGAATTGTTTTCCCTCGGCCAAAGTGCAAATGCAAATGTCGACCTTTTCCGAAACGAATTGGCGCAAAACTATCAATTAGCATTAACCGAGAGCTAAGTAAGTAGCATTTCCTAATCAACTAACGTAACTTCTAATTCCACAATTAACCTGGCGAACAGGTAAAGGAGCACTGAAAGAAAATCGAAAGAAGTAGAAACAATCGAAAGAAAAATTAGTAACATTAAATAAGATTATTATTACACCCGCATATCAAATTAAAGTTGAAACCACATAACATCAAATCGATCATCGTTTCATATCAAGTTTTTTTTTTGGAATATATAATAATTTATGTATATTTATCCATCATTTAATCGATAGCCTTTTGTGTAGGTAAAATCAATAGTTGGTTTAATTTTTCCCTCTGTATATAAATGTTCCGAATTACTTAAGACCCAATGGCATTGGCTAGAAAGGAAATGGCGCGTGGAGCCATTAATAGAAACCCGTGGGAAAGGGCAAGAATTTCACTTGGGCCAACTTCGAAATGAGAGTGGAAAAGGGCGAAAGCTGGCACTGCGGTGTGCGGATGGGAGTTCCATTAGCATAACAATGGTTCGAAGTGGACTGCAGTCGTTCTGATGCACTCCCTTGTATTCCAGGCAAATACCAGGGTCAGTGGCAGGAGGGCAAGCGACATGGCTACGGCATCCGCACCTCGGCGCCCTTTGGACTGGCCTCGCACCATCGGCGCAAGAACCTCCATGCCTCGCTGAGTTCCCTGCGGAGTGGCGAGAACGGAAATGCGGCCAAGATGGTGGAGAAGGCGGAGGAGATTCGCGGCGGCTTCGTCCTGACGGCCAAGTCCGATAAGCTGCCGGTGCGGCGCAACAGTTTAACGGATAAGACCGGCAAGAAGGGATTCCTGATGGTGAGTTGGGGAGGGGTAATCTCATGTCATTTCATGTACTTTATTTAACCCTTCCTTATTTTCTTGCCAAAAACAGGGCCTTAAGATGCGCAAACAGCGCAGCACGGGCGATCTGGAGAAACGGGGCACCATTGCGTCCGGCAGCATACGCTCCACCATGTCCTCGGCCTCCTGGATCAGCACCGGATCAGAGCAGTCCAACCTGACCACCAAGTAAGTGTTTCTAATAACCATATGACACTTGCTCAATATTTTGACTTCAGAGATTAATGTTTTATAATAATTCTTTATGAATGTATATAAAATAAATGCTACACGTTGCCCTGACATGTTAAATAAATCCAGTCATTTAGAAATTCATAACTGCTGCTAGTGTTATATGGCGAAAATCAAGTTTATATTTAAAACAATTTAAATGAATTACGAATGAAAAAAATCTATTATTCCCATTATTTTATCATAATATAAATCTAAGAGATTCATCCAAACCTAATCCCTATCATCTCTTCCCAGGTCCCAGCACACCGAGTCCAATGCCAGCTTCACCATGGAGGACGAGCAGCTGGACCCCACGGTGGTGGAGACGTACATGGGCGAGTGGAAGAAGGACAAGCGCTGTGGTCACGGTGTGGCGGAGCGCAGCGATGGACTCAAGTGAGTTTTACAAGTTCCAATCATTAATTCATTACTAACTAGGCAAATTACCATTAAACAGGTACGAGGGCGAGTGGTACAACAACCGGAAGCACGGCTACGGTGTGACGACCTTTCGCGACGGAACCGTCGAGGAGGGCAAGTATAAGAACAACATCCTGATCACCAGCCAGAAGAAGAAGCATTTGTTCCTGGCGCGTTCGCGCAAGCTCCGCGATCGAATTGCGGCGGCCTTGAGCTCCGCCCAGCGCGCCCTCAAGATGGCCATGCAGCGATCGGACATGGCCATTTCCCGGATGGCCACCGCAGCGGCCAAGGCCCAGAATGCCGACGCCTCGGCGGAACAGGCCCGAATGGACTGTGAGAATGCGGTGCGAATGGCCCGGGAATTTGCCCCCGACTTCAAGCCCTCTGTGCTGGAGCGTTTTGAGAAGCTGCGCTTCCGCGAACGGGAGCGATTCCGTCCGGGACCAGCGGCCGCCAACGATGCCACCATGAAAATGGGCATGCAGACGCAACAGCAACAGCAGCAACAGGGTCAATTTTCGCCCACCAGCAGCAGCGGATCGGATGCCTATGCCACGCAGGCCCAGCGGCAGCAGCAATATCTGAACATGCAGCAGCAACAGCAGCAGCAGCGTCGCATGTCGCAGCAGAAACTGGACTCGGAGTGCCCCGTGCCGCCGTCGATGTACTCGCAACAGCTGCCCGTCTCCCCGCAGACGGATCTCTCGGGGATGGTCAGCCAGGGTCAGCCCAGCCACGCCCAGGTGATCAGTGCCATCAATCAGATGTACCACCAGCAGCAGCACCAGCAGAACCAGCAGCAGCCACAGAGCAACCCGCAAATGAATCCTGCATATCAGTTCCAGCAACAGCAGCCGCCCGGCCAGGCCAAGATCAATCCGAATCTCAACTCGAACCTCAAGCAGAACCAGGCAACGAATCTGAACCAGAATCAGGTGCCTTTTGGAGCGGGCACGAATCAAGCGGGGAGTTTCCCCCAGCAGCAGCAGCAGCAACTTCTGCAGCAGCAACAACAGCAGCAGCAACTGCAACAGCAGCAACTTCTGCAGCAACAGCAGCTGCAACAGCAACAGCTACTCCAGCAGCAACAACAGCAACTCCAGCAGCAACCCTCGCTGCACGCCTCGCCCACCCACAATGCCTCGAATCTGCTGCGTCGCGCCTCCCAGATGCAGCAACAGCAGATACAGGAGACCGCCGCCGCCGCTGCCATGGCCGCCAATGCTGCCGCCATGGCCGCTGCCCAGCAGCAGCAGCGCAGCGGCAGACCGCCGATGTTGGGCCAAATGGGCCAGCAGTCGTCCATCGATCACTTCGACCACTACAAGAGGCCGCCGAGTCGCGACTCCTCCATCGATCGCTATGCAAGGGCTGCGAGTCGCCTGAGTGGAGCCTTTGCCGGATCTCGGCAAACGTCCCTCGATCGATCTGGTCTGGCTGATCCAGTGACTAACGGAGGCACAAGCACTCCCGATGGACGCCCGCGGGCGGGCTCAGTATTCCGCGGTTCCACCCCGCAACCTGGAGCCGCAGGAACCTCCTCGATGACTGGCAATGGATCGCTGCCCTCGGGAACGGGCAACGGCGGGCGATTATCGCGGGCCGGAACTCCGAGCTTGGGAGCCGGAGGGCGAGCTCCTAGTCAGGGCAAGGCAGAGCCCTTGTTCTCCTCGCCCAACCAGCCGTTCGAGGACGTCCTGCTGCGCCAGCGGACGCTCGGCCAGGACATCATTCCCTCGCCCCTGCAGCCCAAGCGCACGGAGAGCCTCTATCTGCCGGCCACGCCCGTGGGCATGGCCATGGGCGGAAAGGGGGGCGGAGGCGGCGGTGGGGGTGGCGGCAAGAAAATGAAGGTGAGTTAGAAAGAACCCCTTAATATAGTTTAGAAACTTAAGCTAACTTCAGATTGGATTTGCCTTTTATACTTAAGAAAAGTATGCAAGTTAAAGCGATGTTAATACTTCAGCTAAGAAAGCTGGATAAAAATCGTAGACCATTTTTATGAATATTTTGACAGTCTAAACTTAACTTGAAAGAATGGGTTAAATCGATATAATTAGGTAATCAATGGTGGTAAAAGGAATTAAAAGAATATCTTAAAAGATAGATTTTTCGTTAGTCAAATTGTGAACAGATTTTCTAAAGAGTAAACCATTTTCGATATAATTAGTTTATGAAGGGAGGTAAAAAAAATTAAATCAATATCTTAAAAAATCAATTTTTTGTTAGTATCGTATTGTAAACAGATTTCCTAAAAAGTAACCCATTTTCAATTGGTATGTTATATGACAAAGTCTTCAATCAAAGATCTGTTATTATGATATATCTTTATTTAGATTTAAAGTACGAACTATAAGGTAACCCAAGGGTTAAATATTTTCTTATAAGATGAAGTAACGGAAAAACTTGATAATATTTTGCTAACGGTGCTCTTTAGTCGGCTAAAATTCTTGATAGACTCTATAACCTAAGGGTTAAATATTTTGTTATAAGTTAAAGTAACAGGAAAATTTGCCAAAAACGCTCTCATCTTTAGGTGGTTAGAATCCTTGAGAGACTCTCTAGAGCGTGTGAGAATCAGCTGAATTCCCGGGCCGTGCGTCTGAGATATTTCATAACACAGTTAATCCGAGCAATTAACTTAATTCGTACGCCATCGTTCTTGGGTCTTGTGTGCGGGGGAGAAAGTGATAGTGGGAGTGAGAAAAAGAGAAAGAGTAAAATACTGAGAGACTGGGGTGTTCATTTTGAAACATTTCTCGGCCATCTCGGGGCGAACATGTGCCCATTCTGGACTATTTATAGCCGGGCACGAATGCACGCCAGCCGGATCAGCCAGCCGTCGGCCAGGTTGGAATGCATGCGTGCCGTGCCGCTGAATCAGAATCTCTGAATCTCAGTATCTGAATCTCGGAATTTCTCTCGGCAACGACTCTCCGGCGGAATGAAAATGAACGCTCCACAAGTGGCCGTTGGAAGGCCGGCGACATGGCAATAAATAAATCCTCTCGGGAAGTGTCGCTCGCCATTGGTTTGGGCTTCTTTTTTTTGTGGCCCCCAGTGGCGACGATTTTTCCGAACAAATGACGGCTAGTAGCAAACGACGCGTCGGCCCCAACGGATTACCCATTCGAAATAGAGAAAACCCCACAGAAGAAAGAAAAAAAAACTTTGAGTAGCCAATATAATTATATATGTAGATTTGTGCCGCCATTCAAAACAAGGAAAATACATCGAAATTCTGAAAGCAATTTTGTGCGAAGAGTCAGCGACAATATCCGTTGTTGTTTTGGCTCAGTGCCTCAGTGGCGGGTTTTTGGGACTATTTTTGGCTCTTCAACGGAGGAGGCAGTGACTCTCGGTGTTCAGTAAAAGGCGGAACGCCATGTCCAACTCGTTTACAAGTTGGAAGCGCCTGTAGAAGAAAGATTACACGAAAGTGTCCAACGTTATGCAAGCAGCTATTTGGCTGCAGAACTTTTTCAACCACAAAACAAATTAAAGTTAAACCCCAAAGTTAGACAATGGACTGGTATCCGGAGGAGGATGAGGAGGACCTTATGTTCTCGCCGGCACTCTTGGCCAGGCGAGCCAGCGAAAGCTGGATCGTAGAGCCGCCCGTGGAGGTGGAGAGTCAATAGCTTAGCCTTATCCAATTATATCTGGAATACATCTCTGCCCTCCCTTTGCAGTCGGTGCCCATCAATGTGACGCTGCAGCGGAAGAAGTCCATGCCCGATTTCCAGGAACTGCCGCGTGCCACGGAGGCCATGAGCCGCGAGGAGGTCTCCGCCCTGGGATCCGCCCGCCGGGAGGCAGTGCGTCGCCAGATCGAGGTCAACGAGCGCCTCAAGGCAAATCCCTTGCTGTATTTGGTCAGTCCACAGGTTAAGGTGAGTGACGGGTTGTTAATACATTCGCTTGGCCAAGTGCCGCATTTGATTTGTTGTCCCTCAAATGGCTTTACAATTGGTTCTCTTACCTAAACCACCTTTTGTGTAGACATCTAGTATTGGGCAATATTTTGACGCTAATGGTGCATTCAGAAACAGTTTATGGGGCCTTTAGTTAGCCATAATTTATGTGGTTTTTCATAATTTAAAAAAAAAATAATTTACATACATTTATAACGATTGATATAAGACTTATGTTTGGCTCTTGATTAAATTAATTAAAATTACACATCGAGTTAGAAGAAGTTAAAAAACAATTAATATAATAAAATATTTTAATCCAATTTTTAATAAGCTTTCATTATTATTTTTTTTTTTGATAAATAAATATTCTACCAAATTAATTTGGATTAAAACAAATTTTATTTTTATTTTTTTTTTATTTCAAATTTAGTTTTTTTCAAATTTAAATTTGTTTCAAAATATTATATTTATCCATAAAATAAAATATTGTTTTTAAGCAATAACGTAAACACTTTTCAAAATAAATAAAATTGATTAAAACGTTTTTCAATTAACAATTTAATTGAAAGCAAATTTAACATTATTAAACCGAACATACATCAGAAAATATTATTAAATAACATATATCAACACTGTTAATTTATCATTTGTATATTAAGAAATTAAATCTAGTAAATAAGTATTAAAGACTGTTACTGACTCATATTATTTTTCGTCCAGGACTGGTTTGTGCGCCAGCAGCTGATGCTGCTCGTCCTGATTTTCAATGTCGCGCTGGCGCTGCTCTTTGTCTACATGCTCACCTAGCGCCGGAGGAGGATGCACAGGACGACGCTGGACGGGGGCGGACTTGGGCTGGGCGATGCGGGATTGGGATTGGGACAGGGACAGCGGCAGCGGCTGGCCTTAAGCCACTTTGGTTTTGGCTGCCACCGATAGTCCGATTTTCGCGGCGTTTCGCGGACATTGAGGGGCCCGGTTGTGGCCCACAATTTGCGTCGGGGGTGTGAGCTAATAAGTTTTTAGCATTTGCAGTAACCAGTTTATAAACCAACTTAAGTATCTAAAGTACCATTAATGTATATCATATGTATAACATGAGGAAACACGCTAAAGATGGGAAAAAGAAATCGAATTACAAGTCTAGACTGCAGCCAAATAATGGATAATTAAATTAACTCATAGCGCAGAACTGCAATGCACAAATCGTAGCAAACTAAATACATACTTAAACCGCGTGGCTGTGCAGCCAATCATTTAATTTGTCGAGCCAATTAAACTTTGTATTTGTGGCTAAACAGCTAATCAGCTAACCAGGAGCTGGAGGGGAGATCGAATAACTATATGCAAATCAATTTAACGAATTTTTCTACACATTTAATGTAAAGATAAAGGCAAAAACAAAAAACAAAAAAGAAAAGAAAACAAACAACACTATAACCTAATCAATGTTTAATCATGATAAATAAACGCGTAACTTATTTAAACTCTGGCTACTTAATATTAATCATAATACGAAAGCAAACCTAGGCAAATGCAAGGCGACCAAAAGCCAAAATTAAAATAAATCAACTTTCCTATTTGCAATTGAAAATGCATTAGTCAGCAACTTAATCAAAACAAAAGGCAACCGAATAATACAAGTACTCATATTTATATATATTAAACGTGTAACGATGTGACACCTATATTTGTATAATTAGCAAAATTTTGTGGGACCGAAAACAGCACCAACAACAAAAAATGGAGGAGCAGCTGCAAGATATCAAGTGTCTTGAGCTCTGTTTTTGGTTTTTGGTTTACCAGTTGAACATTTTCGAAACTAAATTGAATTCGAGAAGGTCGGAGAAGAAAATTATATACTTTAAAGCAACGGATCGAGGTTGTTAATGAACGAAGCTGTATATATACATTTTAAAACATTATCGTATAACTATAATTATTTTCTTCTCGATAATTTACGTTTAAATTCATAGCTGGGACGACGTCATTATTTCAAAGTGTTGCAATTTATCGTTTTTAGTTTCACTTCATTTACGATGTACGAATATGTTCTAAATATTATTATTTAATTTTTTATTTGTTATTTTATATGCATACATTATTGAAAATAAATAAAACCGCACATTCGCATCTTTGCAAGTGTACTCTGCAATTTGTTCTTATTACTCCCGTTACTTTGTTAAATATATACTATCAAGTGCAATTATAGTGAACTATTAAACTTACCGCTTTCCTCGGCTATTTTGTGTGTACCAATAGAGAGCGAGGGGATAATGCTACCCCAGGCGATATTCTCTTTAGACCGTTTCTTTCGAAAAAATATGGAAAAGATAAATGTAGAACCTACGAAATGAAAGACTTGAACTGAAAATCGTTGGCTGGTGCGTTAAATTTGAAAAAATACAAAAACAAAAAAAAAACGATTTGGATTCGCCTGGATCAACGGTTCTATAAACGTTGTTCGAAAATATTCATTATGCGTACACATATATATTTGCATACGAAATTTAATGAATCTAATTTGTGTATATATCTATGTTTATCAGATTGGCAGGCATAACCAAAAAACAAGCTGGCAAAAAGAAACATAACATAGAATCTTATTCAATGTTACCGACAACAAGAAAGTATATCAAAAATGAATGCATATGAAGGAAACTTTTTAAATACAAATAATAAAATGCGTCAAAGCCTAACAATGGAATTTTGTTTACTTATTATTATAAAGGTAGGGGATTTATTTATTCTCTATATTTTTACCCAAAATATTTATTCAAAAACTTGGACTTAAAACTTGATTAGCTGAGCCCAAAAGTCTGCAATGCCTTACGACATTTAATTTCATAAAATTTTCCAGTAAAACTACAATATAAAAATCTTCTTTTTAAATAGTTTAATCATCATTAGTTCAACAGGGAAGGAGAAAGAACATAAATAAATAAGAGGATACTTATCGATAAGCCTAAACCTAACAACAACGATTCCGAACTCAGTAGTCCGCATAGGCCCTTCCCTGGTTGCCGTAACCAAAGTCCTTCAGATAGTTATCGATGGCCAGGTCGAAGGTGGAGGATGGCTTATCGGGACCCGACTCGGGTCCACCGTATGGCTTGACCTCCGGCTGAGGTTCCGGCACGGGATAGGCCTCCGTGCGGGGCTGATAGGACTCCGTTTGGCTGGGATACGACTCCGTGATGCTGTTGTACGAATCCTTGTGGCTGGGATACGATTCGGTGGGATATGCGGGCGTGTGGCTGGGATACGATTCCGTTTGACTCTGCACCACGGGATAGACCTCAGTTTGTGGCGCCAAATACTCCTTGGGCGCCTCAACAATGGGATACGACGTGGTCCTGTCATAAATAGTGGGCGGCGGTGTGGCCACCACAATCTTCTCCTCGTAGGGCGTCTTTATCTTGGCCACTGACACCCCCGATGAAGAGGAAACCGCTGCTGCGGCATACTTAATGCTGGATGAGATTTTCGGAGCCGGAGCCACTTTGCTGAGGAGGGGAACCACCGGGGCAGCTGGCTTGCTGTAAACTGGAACAGGGGAGTAGTAAACGGAGGGAGTTGGTGCTGGCTGAAGTTGGATTTGAGGACGCGGCTGAGCTGGCTGACTGGCTGGATAGCCCTTCTTGGTGCCATAGGCGGTGCTCAGGAGTTGGGCCAACTCCTCGAGAGTGTAGTTGGGAGCAGCTATGTTGGCCACCGCCGGTGAGGAAGCTGGTGAGGAAGCAGCAGAAGCTGCTGCTGCCTGTTCGTAGACCAAGGGATAGGGCTTATAGGCCTTGGGTCCGCCCACGGGTCCCACCAATCCTCCATAGCCCTCGCCTCCGTACTTGGGGAAGTACTTGCGCTGATGGACATGCGTGAACTCCACCTGGCCACCTGGAGCATACTCCCCGATCGAGGAGATCTGGGTGAGGGGCTGCTTGGGTCCGGAGGAGACCACCTTGCGGCAGAACTCCTTGCAGCCCAGCTTGCACTCGCAGTAGCACTTCTTGTACGCCGACGGCTGGGTGGTGTAGTCGCGTGGGTGGAGCAGTGGTGGTGGTGCTGGGATACTCCGTGGTGCTGTACACCGCGGTGGTGGGTGGACTTGCGGTGGATCCGCCGCTCGTTGAAGTCGTCGGTGCCACCGTTGTGGGCACCTCGCTGCATGGAACCTGCTCCCAAACCTCCTGCTCACATTCCGCACAGTATTCCGGGAAATGGGCTTGGGTCAACAGGGCCGTAGCCATCACAATGGCCATAAACAATAAACTGCAGCGTTCGAACATCTGAGGTGGCGGGAGGAAATGTGGGTTAAAAATCGTTCCCAATCAATTGGCCCAGTTCTTTACCTTTCCACTGAATTTCTCCCTCAATTTCGATCAATTTCCCTCAGCAATTACTGGAATTTCTGTCCCCGGATCGCCGATTGGATGGCACTTGTTGGCTGTTGGTCGGTCGCGTGCGAAACTCTTTCATGCAATTTGCTGAATAGCTCTTAAATACGCTGCGCTGGCCGATGGCTTCTAGCTCAGCTGCTGCTGCTTCTTCTTTCACCACAGCACTTACAACGCCGAACAAATGGGTCGCGGAAGCGTTGACCGCATCACGTTCCAAATGGATCGCAGCGGATCGGAGCGGTACGGGGTGGAGCGGGGCTCGGCGGTCCGGAATGGGCCCGGGGGCCCCACAATCGCCAGATGCCGCCGCTTCCGTAATACACATTCAAGCATTTCTACCCGCACTCGTCGATAGCATCAAGCGCTCAACAACAGTCCAATCATGAGCACACATATGGCCAACAAACATATCTTTTTATGACCTCTGGTTCATGGCCCTATTGACATAAACCATTAAAATCTAGTTGAAAAAGATGCCATTTTCCTACAAAAATTCAGGACAAATAATAGAAATTTATTGTAATATTTAAAATGTTATTTAGATTTTTTTAAACACCCTCTTTTGCACTGATTTTATGAGTACCATGAGTTTTATCCTTTTTTCAGTTCTCAGCTGTGCCCATTCCGCACACGCTGACCTTTTTTTTGGTTCTGCCCCATATTCGCCAGCATTTCGGGGATTTATAATTTCTGGGTCTTGGCCCAGATCTGATATTATCGTCTGAGGTCGATTAACTTATCAATTTTTGGTTGTAATTTCGTGGCTACACGTACGCAATGGATAAATACATTTTTGTAAGAGAATGTGCATTGGTAATATTTTTATATTTTACGTGTCTTGCTTTTATTGATTTTCACTGATAAAAAGAATATGTTCGTGAAAAATACAAACCATTGGAGAGCACTTTGAGCAATTTAGAAAAATAAGTATTTGATGTAAACTTTTTTCCTTCAAAAAAATAATATAATCAAGAACATTTTAAAAAATAATAAAAATTCCTTAAGGAGCCAAATAATATAAAATTAAAAACAAAAGATGTTCTCATATTAGAAAATTCAGTATTTTTGCCTTAATATTTTGAAAAAAATAATGTGTTTTCGGTCTCATTGGTATTTATACCTTAGTAAAAGTACGAACGTTGAAGTCAACGACTTTATTTTCTCAAAGTGCAAGGCTCAGCAATATTATGAAATTTTGTTCATGTTTGAGGTGTGTTTCTTCTAAACCCAAAAAAAAAAAAACAAAACCATTATAAACGAACGCCTGCTCTTTATTCATAGCATAGTGCTTTAAATTAAGTATCAAAACATAATAATGAATAATTTCGTAATTAACAACGGGAACTTCGAAAAGCATGCTCTAACTTTTGGTTAATTAAGATTGGCTACTCGACTTTGAAATGGTCTGGCTCCGGAGTAAACCTGGATATCTGGAATAAAACTACGCTCGTCCCTTACATCGGGCTCCACGGTTTCCTTGTAATCACCCAGTCTTCCCTGGATGGAGCTGCGCTTCTTTAATTTCTCCCAGCGATTGGGTTCGCTCTCTGACTTTGGCTTAACTGGCTCTTGGATTTCGGAAGATTTCTGGGCAAGATTTGGAACGGCTTCCCTTCGACTTGCCATTTCCACATCGATGGTATCGGTTCCACTTTGAGCACTGGTCAATCGTTTAAGCATCTCCTGGTAATGCGGTTGATCCGCAGTAATGTACTCCGGTTCGTCTTCGGGATTCAGGATCTGGTAGTTGGGGGTGCCCAGCTCGAAGGTGGTAAACTCGCCGTGCTCCACCTTGTTCTTCAGATGCTTGGCAGTGTATCCATACTGCTGGAGGGGAGCCATCCACTTGGCATCCGCATCCGGCTCGGCATCCTTTGAGCCTCCCGGACAAAAGCCAAGGGCCATCAGCCAGATGACCAGTAGTCGCCGTGTCTCCAGGCAGCCAACCATTTTCGCACTGATGCTCCATTGATCTTTGGCCACAAGCGTTAGCCTAAGCCCAATAGAACCGCCATCGACGACGCCGACTGCGCCGGTAATTGGACGCCCCCGAGTGACGGCAGCTACGTGAGATTAGAGTCATCTATGGGACCATGTCGCGTCTGGCGGCGATAGCATTAGTTTGTGCTTATCAAAAATTCGGAGCCACCTGAGCCATGACACATCTTTTTTTATGAGACATCAATCGGCGAGTTAAACCGAGAAGCCAGACTCACACATTCGAGTTTAACTAAGTTAAGCATGATTTTCCATTCAAGTTTCATTCAGCAATTTTTTTTAAATCTCTACTGGTTTTTGTGCAGTTCTTGTGTCTTTACTCAATGTGATTAATCTGTAGAAAGCGAATTTTTTTCTTCACTGATCAACACAAAAAAAATTCGATATTAAATAGGGTGAATTATACCATGATTTACGTCAAATTTATGATTTCAACATATCAACTTGATATTTTATCATATCATTTAAAATACCAAATTCAGTATTTTTGAACCAATAATGTAAAAGAAGATAAACATAATCATATCAAAATGATATGATGAAGTTGATCCTTAAAAAATATAAAATTGACCAGCACATATCATTCTGATCTTAGTCAATATCTTTTCTGTGAGCACCTTTTCCACCACTATTGTAAAATGAAACTCCATAGTTTTTGTGTTCCTCTGCGAACAGTTTGAATGTGATGCATCTTTATAGTTAGTTAAATGTATGCTGATTGTATGTACAATTAATGGTCTAAGCGATATTAAATTACGATGTATGGCAGTGAGTATCCCGGGTCGAGTCGGGCATCCTAAATGGGCTGGTAAAAGTCAATGGCTGCAATCTTCTCTTAGTATTCATTACTCAGTACTTGTACTGAGCTGTGGGTCCGGAAACAGAGACGTAGTTTCCGGAGGACAACTCCTGCTTGATGATAGCCTTGGGGGCAGCATAGTGAACCAGAGGAGCCACCGGCAGCACAGGAGTCAGGATCTTGGCGGCCAGCAACTTCTTGGGCGGCTCAGGCAGCGGAATCTTGATGTCCGTCGGCTCCCGCTGGACAATCGCCTCGAAGCCGTTGTGATCATCGGCCTTGTACTGGACAATGCGACGATAGCCATCGGAGTCGATCAGCTCGTAGACACCCTCGACCTTGTCGTCCTTGCGCGTCTCCTTCTGGCTCTTGATGTCGCCGGTGTGGGGATCGTTCACCGACCACTGGAACTCGTAGGCCACTGGTCCGTAGTCCGGCTCCGGCTGCAATTCAATGGCCCAAACGGCGCTGGCCAGGCACAGGCACAACAGATAGGTAGCCTAGGTGAGAGAAGGAATATCAACTTGGATTATAATCCCAGGAAAAATCCCTGTGCGCCACTCACTTTTCCCATCATTTTGGTTCTCAGAACTCTTTGGGTATTGAAATGCACTCGACAAAGATCGAAATCGAAGTAATTAATCTGGGTAGTCCTAGGCTGCTTATATACGAGCACTCGGCGCTAGGTTTCGATCCGACTCATGTGATGTGGCAATCCACCCAAAGTGTCGTGTCGCTTTTCGGCACGCGCCTCCCAAACAAGATCGCCGGCACAAGTGGAGCGCGCTCATTAACTGAGCCCCGAAAAAATTATAATTAAACAAGAAATATGCAAAGTGTGGCTCGCAATGGTCTGAGCAATATGCACAGTACAAAAAAAATATTTTTTAAATAAGTCTTCAACTCTATAAAGAAATTTTGCTTTAAGGCGATTTATGCTTAATTTTTTTTAAAGATTTACTTTCTTGGTATAAACTTAAAGTATGAATCTTTGTTAAACGCTCCGAAATTAAAATAGATTACCTAATGAACATAAATATTACTTTAAAGAGAATGCTGAAGGATATTATTTGGTTTAAGGCGCCATTTTTAAAAGTCCTGCCATAGATCTCTCCTACATAATGATTCTGAGAAAAAGGACCCCAATGTTTGAAAAAGATGATCAAGACAGTTGACAAAAGCAACTCCAAATAATTTAAGAATTTATTTTAACAAGTACATTAAGGAATGAATTAGAGAATGATATAGTCATAGACAAATGACTCGAGGATTAATCAATGTAACACAGACACTGTGTTAGATGTAGATATAATTACCATCTTTTAGTAAAAAAGAATATCAAATAAAACAAATATTTTATTAGTTCCTACTTAATAATAAAACATTATTTTTATTATTATCTTAATAAATTCAAAAGTTTTCATACTATAAATTCTGTAATAAAAGGTTATAATCGGACATTCAAAAATTCCTTTTTTTCTGACTGCAAAATAGACATTTTTCGATAAGCAGCCAAACGCATATGCCGCAAGTGGGAGAGCTTGGTGATCTTAGAGGTGTCGCGCTAGTTTGTCTGGTCTAACCAACAAATGTGCAGAATAATTTACTTTGTCAATAATTTGCAACATTAGGCATTGGGCAACAAGGCCTCCGACTGCATTAAGTCATAAAAATAATTGTCATGTTTTAATGGATAGCGCGCCAAACGGACTGCAGATGGATTAGGGGCAAGTGTTGGGGGGTTGGAATTGAAACCTTCATGGCTCAGAGGCCAGATCCTTTGGCAAGTGATCTGGCCACAATCCATTCGATGCCATTAACAAACATTTTAATTAATCGCCATTAGACGAGTTTCCTTTGCGCACGCTGCCCGAGAAACCAGGTTACTCTATCTCAAAAGTTTTGATTTAACGCAGCCGCGAAGCGTGTTTGTGGAACCTTAAAAGCAATCTCTGGTATGTGCACTTGTTAGGCGTAGTTGGCTCCGAATCTGGGTTAGTCTAGCAGGTCTTTTCCTTTTCTGCGTAAGTTTGGTGATCAGTTTCATCAGCTTAATGGTTATTATTTTATTTTGGTTTTTTTGGGATTTAATTTATATATCATATTTGTCATATTTTTTCCTAATCAGCAGGCTCACTTTCTTTTTCCAACTTCCCACGTATTGTTCTCTGGCAACGGGATCTCAAAAGTTCTCGCCGAAGGGCATTGCTCTCCGTTTCGACAGTTTGAATAAGCTGAAAATCAGAAATGGTAAGATATAGAAAACCAAAAAACGTATAACATATAATATAACATACGCTGTGAGTCAAAACAGCTCTCTCCATGGTTTCTGCATCGGCATCGTCATCTTTGGGCCCAGATTCACTGCTCGAGGAGCAGCGACGAGCTTTGTGATGAACACCAGGATAATCCTCCTCATATTTTGGAGGAGGATCATCATCGTTTGGTGCTGAAGATGCAAAGCTGGTCGCTCCTGCTTCTGAGTTCAGCTTCAGAGCAGCCAATTCATCTCGTAAACTTTGATTTTGCATTTCCAGTAATTCCACCTTAAAATGGGCCAACATTAATTTAACCCATTGATTTTTTTTATCCCATCTTACGCTATCCAATTCAAAATCCATTTCATCGATAATGTCGTATGACTCATCCAGGGCTCTTTGAAGCTTCTCCACTTTGGCCTTCAGTTCTTGCAGTTCATTGAGATCACTTTGGGCCGATTGCCGCTTTTCTAACATCATTCGTTGTTCTAGAAATTGATAAATAGAATAGATCTCTCCAAGGAAACCACCGCTTTAACCCACCTGCATTTCGCTGATCCAAAGAGGACTTCATAACCAATCCTGTTAGTGTCTTCTGCCGCTTAAACATCTCCTCCAGGGCACGACAGCGCTTCACCTTCTCCAGGTAGGCGTCATGCAGTTTGTTGTACTTCTTCTTGTGCTGCTGCACCGTCTCCACCAGACGATCGCGCTCCTCCTCCAATTGAAAGGCCATGATCTTGGCCTCGACATTTATGGCCGCATTGGTGCTGTGGCTGGCAGAGGCACGATTCAGACGATGGCGCAGTAATATGTTCTCCTCTTCCAGCTGGGCGTTTCGAGATTTGGCTATAAAGGAGTTGTACTACGTTACGTATACGCAACGACATTGCTCATACGCACCAGCGGCCAGTTCTGCATAGAGCACCTGCATGGTAGATGTGGATCGCTTCTCCATTATTTCGCGTTTTTCCTAATTTACAGTTTTGTAAGTGAAACAATTACTCAGCGAATGAAGAATCTATTGTTGCTGAAAACACTAAAGATAAGCTATCAGCCCGTTTGAATGAATGGTTATCGCTGCCAAAGCTACTTTGTTAAATTATTCGATTATTTAACAATGTAAAAACTCGATAACTAAAGTTTTTTAAATTAAACAATAGTACAAGTACAGTCAAACTTCCATAACATGAAATAACAACAAATAACAAAGTCTAACCAAATTACGTGGTTAAGGCAAATGACTGCTACATTTTATAAATGTTTTATTTGAAAAAGAAAAACAATTTTCTGTTTTAATATTAATATTAAATATAAATAATTATATTTTTATTGCACCCATTTAATATCATAACTCTACTCATATGTAGAATACGTTAGGTTCGAGTCTTGACTACAATAAATGAGAAATGGTCACACCCTAAAACCGATTGCCATTGGCGCCCATTTAAACAACATTTCGAAAAACTAAATGAAAAAGTATTTTAAAAGTCAATGTGGGTTAAAAATAAAAACAATTATTATTTTGTCTATTACAATATTGGTTTATTTTGTTTTAGTTTTCAGGAGTCTCATTGTTTTCATTTCATACATGTCCTTATTTATTTTATTTGCAATATTTTCTCTAAGTAAAAATATGTATTCCTTAAACATACTTTTCGCATATACATAATTATAGATATATATGATTTTTGCACCCAAGTCCCACAACATTTCTTATTTGTGGTCTGTATTAAAATCGCTCTTCAGTAATGTATAAGTTATGTTGTACAAACACATATCCCGATACGAATTCTTAGCTACGCATAGGTACTTATTAACGTACAATTGTATACATATATTTATTCATATGGATGTATCTAGTTAGTGCTCGGGGAGCACTCTGCCTCCTCTCCTACTGTATGTGGCTGGCTGGTGTAAACATAGAATTAGTTGGTACTAATTAACCTAGATTGCATCACTTAGGACTACTGGGGTCTTGCACTCGGGCAGTGCGTAGGAAAACAACCGGATGAAGCGGTTGAATTCCCGTTTCAGTTGAGTTACTGATTTTATCCGCGTGTATATTTAATTGATATTTTTTAAGGCATTATCGCATTTAAAGTACATCATTCGGTTTTTAAAATCTAGGCTATACTTGCTTTTCTCGCTACGATTAAAACAGGGAATTTAGGATTTTTAGTAAAACTAGTCCAGACCTATTCTTCATTCGAACCCTTCTCTCTCTTGGATGCACAATGTGTGGCCGTGTTTGTCCACAAAGATTCTCTAAATAATGTATTGCATAAGAATTACATTCAGCGTAGTTCCTTTCTATCCGACGTTTTTTTTTCGTTAATTTGTTGTTTTCTATACTCACACATTGTTTCACAGCACAATTTCCATTGACAATTGTTTACATGTTCGGATTATTAAAACATTGTAATTTGCTATTCGTTTCACTTCCTCCTCGCTAACTGGTTCTCAGTCAATCGTCTCCCTTTCGAAACCGAGATTGCACATAGTCGAGCCAAAGCGAAACATTTCGAGCAGTTCGAACGCTAATCGACTTTTCACGCATCTGCGTTCCACTAAAAATACAATACAAAATATTCCTATCACAACGATCTACGCCTACCCTAAAATATGCTAGTTGCTTACTAGGATTCCTATTCTACCGCCTGGTTACATAAATATTATCTGCAAGTATTCTTCTTCGGATTCGAATTCTGGTTGAATGTTGCATATATCAAAAGATTTCTATTTTCAGATGCCTTCTACTAGGAAAGTAGATTTGAACACTCGGTTGTAAGTACAATGAGCAGCTGAGAGTTGAGTCACTTCGTCGGGAAACCAGGAATGGAGCCGTTGCGTTAGTGCTGCTGCTGCTGCTGCTGCCTCGAACCGATAAGCCTAGCTTAAAGCTACTTCACGTAAAACTAAGCACAATTGGAGCGCTCTTCCTCTTCGTCATCGTTGTCGTTGATGAGCTCGTTCCGATCGTCATCGATCTGAATCTTGTGGTGCGACGTGTTCCGCGTGTGCTGTGGATGAGGGTGTCCTGCCAAGGAGCTGCTGGCGGGAGCAGCCTCCGGCAGCGTTTGGTAATTCAGATCCTTGGAATTGGTGCGCCGATGTCGCAGCACACTTAGACCCGTGGCACTGGTTTCCGGAGCCACCAGCCCAGCAGCGTTGTTTGCGGGAGTTCCACTGGAAATTTTGGTGTTCAAGTCCTTCGAGTTGTTGCGGGAATGACCACGAGATCCTGATCCACCGGTTTCCGTTTCATTCGAGTTCTTTAGCTTGCCCACATCCGTAACTACGTTCTTCAGGACATTCACATTCTTCTTGGGATTGTGGTGAGCATGGGGATGTCGCAGGAAGTCGGCATCGAAGCGTATGTTGTTGGGCATGTAGATTTGGTCGTAGCTGTGGTTCCGCGAATGCTTCTTGACAAAGTGACCACAGCCGGTGGTCAGCTCCTCGTCATCGTCCTCTTCGGCACAGTCCTGCGGCCTCAGCTGGTTCTGAATATAGCGAATGGGTTGGCTGGGGTTGTTCAGATCGGTCGAGTGATTGCGCGTGTGCGCCTGGAACTTCTTGAGATTCTTGTACTTGCTGCTCGCACCACTCCAGCATCCTGACCAGCCGCGTCCGCCGGTCCGCTGGAAGAGTTGTGATCCCGAGCAAAGCTCTTGATCATCTTCACGTCACACGAGGCGCTGCGGAAGTGTTTCTTCGACTTGGTCTGCGGCTGGTTGCAGGTGTTTGCAGGTGTCACCACATGACCGCATTTGTCGTAGCTGTAGAAAAATCAAATTTAGGGAATAATCTTACATTTCAAAAGCCATTTAAACCCACCAGTAATCCATCTGCATGGTTCGTGAATCGTTTCGGGAATGACGAAGTATTTCTGTGGGTATGATAAGCTCTCCTCCGCCTCCAACAAATGCAGTCGACGGCTCTGCGCCAGAAAGTTTTTCTTCAAATACTGCAAAACAAAATTAAATAATTAAAATCAATCAGAAATGATGTAATACCAAACTTACATTTGTCCAAGCTAATGATGGAACCGATGATTGGATCGCTTGCGTTCAAGGGCTTCATTTTCTCAAGCTGCTTGCGCCTTCGCACCAACCACCAATCCACCATAAAGATAAACAAGGCCACCAGCTTTACAGACGCACAGAGACCAACGTATCTAAAAGACATTAAAATTAAATTAGCAAAGTGTGCTATATAAAATAAAAATGTATTCATACTTGTATCGAAACTTTTCAATATCGTAAATGAGACAGCGACCGCCCTTCTCGCCGCAGGACGACTTCCACAGAAGGCAAGTAGAATCGATGAGGTTTCCAAAGAGAATGGGAGCCGGAATGTAACCAAACAGTCGAAAGATCACAAACTGCATGCCCAAAGCAAAGGAGCGCTCCTCCTCGGACACCGATCGCAGTACGATCATGAGCAGCGGCATCTGAGTGGAGGCCACCACAAAGGTCATGAAGAACAGGAGTATGAGGAACGGGAAGATGGTGCGGCACGGTGTGGCACATGGACCCGCGGTGGCCACCGGCACCACGGTCACCTCGGCGAAGTTCTCGTTGGCACTGAGCGCCTGCGCCTGGCTGCCTCCAGCGCCCCGATAAATGCTGCTCGAGATGTTGGCGTGAACACCTAAAAATATAAATGAGACAAGAAATAAATTAGGTATTGTTCTGATATATTATTTTAAATTAATCAAATATTTATTAACTAAGTCAAATAAAATTATAAATTAAATATTTTTATTTTTGCAGTTCTAATACATTTTTAATTGATTAAATTGTTTTGTGTTAAATAAACGATTGTCTTATATTTAACCAGTTAAAATATATTATTTCCTTTTTAAATCTTTTGAAAATTATTCTGTTCTTATTCTGATGTATTATGTTAAATAAATAAAATATTTATTAATTAAATTAAACACATTTATAAATTAAATTTTATATCTTACTCTAACACATTTTTATTTATTAGATTAAATTAATGATTGTCATATATTTAACCAGTTAAAATATATTTTTCCTTTTGATATTCATTGAAAATTATTCTGTTTTTATTCTGATATATTATGTAAAATAAATAAAATATTTATTTATTAAATGAAACACATTTATAAATTAAATATTCATATTTTAGCAGTTCTATTAGACATTTTCATTTGATTTAATTAATCTAATGATTGTCATTTATTTAACCAGCTAAAATATATTTTTTCCATTTGAAATTCTCTAAGTATTTATGAAAATTTTTTAAAAAAGGAAATCGATGATCCGGAGTCTACTTACATGCGCAGTTGGTGTAGTTGGTGCTGGATGTGGATGAGAAGGCCGTGCAGCCGGCGTGGCAGGGACTAAAGTAGGTGAGTCCATTGTTGCCGCACACCGGTTCCACCTCGCTGGTCAGGCACTCGCAGCCAAAGTTGCAGGCCGCCGTGAGGTTCACCTGGAAGGGCTGCTCCAACGTAGATCCATGCTTATTACTAGTGTAATACGGAATCGTGGTCCCGGCCATCTTTAGGTTGTCGCAACCGAGGAAGAATAGCATCGCATAGCAGGCCAGGCAGATGACATTGGTGATCAGGACGAATTGGACGGCGCCCTTGGGCTTCAGTTGGAACCGTTTCAGGATGCAGCCGCCGAGGAAGATGCCAATGCAGGCCCCTGGAACGGCGATCGAACCGGTGAAGATGTTGGCCTGGCTCTTGCCCAGGCTGAACTGCGTCTCCAGGTACTTGGGCAGGAAGACCACGAAGCCGGAGACGATCATCAGTTCCATGCAGGCACCCAGGCAGGTTACAATGTATACTGGATTTTTCACCAGGCGCAGCATAGACTGCGGAATGTCCTTGATGTCCTTGCCGTAGCCCGTGTCCACCTTGGGCGGCGGCTGGTCCTCCTTGCTGGTCACGGCCACGATTTCCAGTTTCTTCACCTTGCCCATCTCATCCGTCGCCGCCGTGGCTCCCGAGTTGTTTGGCAGTACTGGCTGCACCACGCTGCTCTTGCGGATTTTCTTCTTTTCGCGGGCCAGAACCTTGGGGAAGGAAAAGAAGGGCACGGCCACCACCAGCAGAATGACGCCGCACAGCAGGAAACCTCCCCACCACATTCCCACCCAACGTCGGTCGCCGGGAGCTGCAATAAATCAATATGTTTAATAAAGTTGCACTTTCTTTGCGGTCTTATTAAAAATTGCTTTAGAATTTAAGGAAACATTTAATTAAAATTTAATTAATTTAAAACAAAACTTTAGTCTTTAAGAAATCAATGTTTGTAATGTCATCTAGCTTTAATGTGTTTGCAATAGAAGAATGTAGTTAAGAAAGTTACTTATGTTCATGAACTTAACAAATTGTGAGTAGCGCACTTATATATAAGTATTTTTTGTAGTTGTAGCGTTAGGAAGAAATAAAACCAAAATTAAAATTAAATTAGAAATATCTTCAGAAAATTTGTATTTGAATAGTTTTATTTGGCAGCTATTTTGTATTATTTTAATTTATTTGGTAATTTATTTGGTTTGTTTTTCTAAATCATTCCCCCAAAAAAAATCGATATGAAACGTAGATCGATTTTACATTATGTAATATCAATTTTAAATTTAAATGCGGCCAGGTAAATTTGATATGCTCTAAAAGAGTATTTCATGTTAAAACGATATGCATATTGCATAACCAGAAATTTACATGCACATATTTTGCACATCGATTTACATAATGTAATATCAATTTTAAATTGAAATGCGGTCTCGAAAAGAGTATTTCATGTAAAACCGATATGCGTATGGCATAAACAGAAATTGACATGCACATATCGATTTTACGGTGACATAAATAAAATAAAATGAAATCTATGAACAGAAAAAAAGGCTTTTATTTTAATAAAAGCTAATAAAAAAACAAACTTTAATGTTTTAGAAAAAAAATTCAAAAACTCCTCTAATTTCTGTGCCATTTTTATTGACTTAAAGTGGAAATATTACTCACTGATCGAAATGGTAGTAGATGATAGTGAGTCCATGTGGAAGGATAGCAGGTAGGCGCCGAGCAGGAATCCCACCACCGGTCCAAACGCTCCCATGCTGTACATGCAGCCGATGTACATCGAGGAGCTCTCCGTCCGCACGTGATCGTCAATGTAGGTGGTGCCCAGGGTGAAGAGCGGACTGCCGCCGCAGCCGAGGAGCAGCTGGGCGAGCACGAAGAGCAGCACGGGTCCCGTGGTGGAGGCCTTGCCCTCCAAGCAGTTGTCCTCGCGCAGCGTGTGCGGCGCCAGCGGCTGGTTAGACAGTCCGCTGGACAGGCGACCCAGGTCCATGTCCTGATTCCTGACCAAGGCACTCTTGCAAATGTTATCGCTGGTCTTGTTGACGATCGCAATGCCGGGATTGGGCTCCCCCGTGAAATGGGGCACCATGAAGACCAGCGACCCAATGCCCATGATCACCGCTCCGATGCCAATCCACACGGGAATGTGACGCCTGCTGCCCAGGTAGCTAACGAAGATCACGGTGATCACGTTGCCAATCTCGTAGCTGGAGGCTATCAGGCCGGAGTAGCTGGAGGGAATCTCGAAGCGCTTCTCGATCGTGGTGATCACCGAGTTGATGTAGCCCGAGCTGAGGGCCTGCTGCATCATCACGAGCAGCGAGAGCAGCAGCACGAAGATCTTGATGCGGGCAAATCGCTGGATTCCATACGGTCGGCAGTTGAGGATGCCGCAATCGCCCGAGCGGAACTGCTCCTCGTCGAAGTCCTCCTCCGGATCGGCCGGGCACTTGCCCGCCGACGCCTGCCGGCTGTGACACTTGACCGTCACGCTGTCCACGCCCACTGACGCTCCACCTGCTCCTGCTCCTCCGCCCAGCTGATCTCCTGCCAAGTAGGACGTGGCATGGGGCTGATTATCCTGGCCGTCAAGGGCCGCATCTATACTGCTGTCGTCGCCGCTATTCGTCTCCGAGTAGAGGCCGGTCATCTGGTACATCGATTCCTGCCGCCTGCAAGTGAGAGTGTTTCCGTGGTCAGATCAACAAGAAGGATTTGACAATAGGCGCTGAATTTGTGCATTTTTCATTGGGTTTTTGCCATACCCCAAGCCAAAACTCGTTCAAAACGTTCAATTTTAACCTAATTTCCAAAACATTTTATGACAAGCGACCTATTGGGATATTGTTGGTTCGGAATGACCGAGGGGTCCATTAATCTGATCTTCCTAGGGTCGTGAAAATATTGTAAATTAGTTTACCAATTTGCTACTAACAGTCTGTGTTAAAAACAAAACTATTTGATCCCAAAACTACTCAATGAATTGAAACAAACTACCAAAAAAATGTTTGATTAAGATTTGTTCTCTAAATTAAAGACAAAAGGATACACTTTTTCTATTTTTTATTGTTTATCGAAAACTGTTATAAAATTGTCCTTTGGCTTTAGATCTAAAGAATTTTTTAAAAGAAGAAGATGTTAGAAAGTGAAGGCTTTCTTTTGAAATGGTTGAAAAATATTTCCTTTTTAAATATTAATTATTAAGTAATAATTATTATTTAATTGAGTTCAACGTTGAAATTACTTTTATTAGTTAGAAAGATTGTTTGCTCTAAAATATCTAGATTAATCTACTTTTAATAATATACTACAAAAATGTATTTATTTAGACTATTTTTGGAAAGAAAATTGTAGAAAGTAAAGGACTTCTTTTAAAGTAGTTAAAAAACTTTTTTATTGAATATTAATTATATAGTAATAAATATTTTTAAATTAAGTTCAACGTTGCCATTATTTTTATTAGCCAAAAAGATTGATCGCGCTAAAATATCTAGATTAATCTACTTGCATAACATACTTTCATCATACGGTTACGTTCAATGTTATATAAAAAATGGATTTGGTTCGCCTTTAGCCAGGGTATTCAGAGTTTCAACCTTGCCTTGGTATTTGGTGTCTTTTTTGTCAGCCTGTCTAAAGGCGGCCTAGAACTTGGCGATGGACGGTCCAAGGACGCCCGAGGGCGAGGACGCCGTGCCCACTCAATGTCAGGCTCTTTGGGCTGTTGGCCAACACACACTGGCCCATCCTTTTCTATCCTCCTGCTGCCCCCTCCCTCTTACTTGACTTGACTTGGCAGCTGCAACCACAAATGCTCCACTGGCTCTCCCTCTGGCGATTTTCCTAGGACCTCGACTTCCACTTCGACTACAGGACTTCCCGTTCGACGGCTCTTCCGGAGTTCCTTCGACTGGCAGTGCACGCGGATGACTGCGGTAGCTGTCGGCGAATCGAGCGACTCGCTAGTCGCTAGTCGAGCCTTCAAGCTCACGTGCTCACCCTGGACTTGTTTGTCACGCTTTCCTTTTCCTGCCTCGGTGGGCCTCCTGCCTTTGAATATTTCAAACTTGACCGACTCGTCGTAATCGACTGTTATCGATTGGTTTGGGAAGGCGCTGCAGTCTTATGAATTATTAAGCCCACAAATACCACCCACGTGCCGCTCTAAACGTGCCCAGAACTTCTGTTATATTCCACCCATCCCGAAGCTAATTATTGATATCGGCAAATAATATTTGTGTTTGTTTTGCCCCCAAGTGTCAATTTAGGTAAATTGTATTTCCCTTTCCTTGGACCGAGAGGGTGGGCTAATGTCTCCAAAATAATATAGAAAATAAAAACAAGAAACTGGCAACTGCAGCGATTTCCTCACCTGTGACCTTTGCGATTTGCCGTGCCGGCATCGTTGGCATTGTTGCTATTGCTGCTGCTGCTGGCGGTGCCTGCTCCCACATCTGCCACGCCCCCGGGGGGAGGCGGTGGATCTGATTCCTGCTCGAAGGAGGGATTCGTATACTGCTCGATGTGCTTGGCCGACATTTTGTAGCATTTAACCCACTGGCAGCGCAATCATTCACTCGGTCAATCGATCAGCTTTGAGGCATATCCTGAAAATGGAGAAATGGGATAGAAAAATACTTTAGCATGGGAGTTGACTTTCCAGAGTTCAGCGAGGTTGTTTCACGAAACTGTCATTAGGGAACACCCACACACACACATAACCCCCATGGAGTACAAGTCCCCAGTTGATGACGCCGACAATTACTTCCGGAAAAGCTCGCCCCATTGCCACACTAATTGAGCTCAAACAGAAGAGTTGCTGCAACATGCGACCAAGATGGAGCGAAAAAAATGAGGAAAAAGATAATTACGGAAGGCGGTAACCCAGCCACCACCCACCTAGCACCGCCCACTTAGCCTCCCCAGACATCCGCAGGACGAGAAGGATGTTCGCTGACGCCGTCTTCTATTAAAAGCTTGCTCTACACTCAAATACTGGTCCATGTGAGGATGGTGGCTTTATGTCCCCGTCGTTGGCTTGGCAGAGGATATCCTCATTCTGGATGCCATCGTGACACCATCCTGACGTTTTAAAGCTTGAGAAAACTAGCTCATTCAAAAGGAACAGGAATGAAATTGTGACACAAAATTGTAGGCGAAAAATATAGTATCTATCTGCAGTTTTATATAACAAAAGTAGTTTAAAACTAACAACTTTAACGCCTGTTAAATTTAAAGTAGGGTTAAAACTCTGATTTCCCAAACGATTTCTAGGTTTTAACCCTACTTTAAATTTAACAAACGGACGAGAAAACGGCCTAAGTAGGTTATTTTAACCTGCGGACATTTAGGGCCATTTTCTCGTTTGTTTGTTAAATTTAAAGTAAATTTAAAACATTGTATGGGAAATTAGAGTTCAAAGTTTCCTTTGAATTTAACAGGCGGACGAAAAAACGATCTTTTGACGATAAAAATTCTAAAATGCGTTTTTTCTGCTCGTGTAAATCAGTCACCTAAGTATTTGCCATTTCTAATCGAGGTTTTCAACAATTAGTCATTTAGAGACATTTTAAAAATGGAAAACAAAACATGAAAAAATAAAATAAAGACATAATTCGTATCAATATCCTGTGTCATCAAAGTGTTCCACATCCTTTCATTTTTTGATCCCCCAAATTTATGGCTCATCGCCTTTTAAGATAAATGCGTGACAGGACCACACAAACCATCCGTTCAAGGAAGGGCTAATGAAACTGCTATTCCCTCGTCAAGATACAAAAAAGATTCCAATGGCATCGTCATCGTCATCGCCATTGTCATCGCAATAACCATCTGGGGGTGAGAGCTAACAGTTGCTCACTTCGCCGGGTGATTTTGCTTTCATTAATATGCGATACTGCCAAGGACCAGCAGCTATAACAACAATAGAGGCGACGCCACTTGAACACGCATTTCCGAAGGGGTAAGAAAGGAAGAAATTTATCGATCGACTAGACGACGAAGCTCAAAAGAAATATGAAAATCAGCAAAAAGCTAATGCTGGTGATTGTGCTACTACTGCTACCGCTTTCCGGCTCCTCTATAAGCCTATCCCTCCGTCAATCTGAAAGCTGGGAACCCATGCGAATGGCAACTAATTGAGGATTTACTTGGGAGCTTACCCATATGGTTGGATGGACGACCGACGACCGCTTAAGTGTGATTTAGGGGCTTCCATTAGTACTACTAGGTGCTAGCTGCACATCTGGCTGCACCACTTCACCCACTGACCAGTTAATCAATTATCCTCATCCCGCCCCCTCGAATTTTCCACCCGTTGACCCACAAATACTGTCTCTTATTGCTTCCAAGTTTCATGTTCCACATTTTGAAATTTTTCTTTCTTTTTAGCTTTATGTTTTTTTCGCTATTTTCAGGGGGTTTTGGTGTCACAGATGCTGCAGCCGCTGTCCCTGGATAAAAAAGTATGATGAAAAGAGAGCAAACTCTTCTGGCCAATTGCCAAACACAAATTGTACCCTGTTCTAGTTGAGGTAGTCGTCGAATGTAGCAGGAAATGTGTTTACTCTGGAGATCAGCAAATCGAACAAGCTTTAATGATGCCACTAATTGGAGCACAATCGGAAATGTTTTCATTAATCAGATGTATCGGGGGAAATGAAAACATCGAGTGAAATATATTTCCTCTTTGCACAACAATTTATACGGTAGATGATGATTGTCACAGCCAACCATCTCGCATGAGTTGCGCAATGCGAGTTAATTAAAGGGCGACATGGCCGGGCAAATGAAGGGTATTACATAAATTGAGTTTGTACCGAATATTGACAACATTTATGAAATGTTTCATCTCGAACAGGAGAGGATGTCCAGCGGTCGAGCGGTGAAAGCGGTCACAGAAACCCATCAAATTGAGTTGAGTTCGCATTTTTCGAATATTAAACATAAGGCAGGACAACGCGATGGCAGTGACAGGTGGATTGTTGCATAAGGGATAAAGGGAGAGTTGGATTATGGAAAAAGCTTTTAAGGCCTCCCATCTTCCTCGTTTAATGGAAAAGTTACCAAACCGAATTTCACAGCAAATTAAATTTCCATACGCCAGGCAAACAAGTTCATTTTTATTCACATAGCGTCGGTGATTTAAAATCATTATTTTTATAGTGCACCTTGTGGCCTGATCTTGCTCACGCCCTTTGCGGGTTATTCCGCCCATGAAGATGCCGATCACGCACGGAGGTTCTTCCTCTCTCTCTAAGTAATCCCCCAGTATTCTCTATATCTTTGTCTCTGGGTTAGGACATTGAACCCTCACAAGACTTCTGAGAGATGGCTGATGTAATTAAATAAAGCAATAATGAAGCCCGACGACAAGTGCGAGAAAGAGGAAGATCGAGTGAGCAAGTGCCAACTGGAAGTAAGATTTATTTCGTGCGATTCTTGGCCAAAATGGTAAAGGTCAGACGGGCCGAGTTTTAGCCCGAAAGCCTGTCATAGCCAAATAAAGAAACTTGTTCAAGACAAGAGGAGATTTCGGCTTTGGGTGAGTCATTTTACTCCGTCTCTCACTTTTGTTTGCTTGTTAATTGTTCATTCACTCATTTGCCGGGCCGTTGAGTTCATTTTTAGAATCTTAATGGCTGTTTTTGAAGAACAATCAAAAGTAAATGGAAAGTGAATACAATTGCATTGCCATATTCGATTCCCGAACTGCATTTATCCGTATGCACAAGCAACTCACAGATACAGATACGCGGATACATAAGCGATCTTATGCGATTCGCAAACAGGAAGCTAAAATTTACAAAACAAGTTTTTTGAGCGCGGTTTCTTCTCTTGTTTTGTTTTGTTTCGCTTTGTTTTTATGTTTTTCTGCTGTTTTTTTTGCCTTGCCGATTTCTGTGCTAGTAGATAAAAAGATACTTTCACGTGGAGTGTCAATTCCCCAGAGTACAGAACGCGCACAAAACACTTGAATCGTTAGTAACTAATTACGGAAAAATTATTTCTTTGCTGATACGAGTGCAAAGAGATGTTGCTTAGTTGTTATACATATATGTGTTTCCTGATAAGAGTCTCTATATACTTACTGCTAAAGATTTCCTTCACAGAAATGGAACAAAGACAAAAGACGAACAACAGACAAATGGGAATTTTTGCTTTTTATACCCTTGTAGAGGGTATTATAATTTCAGTCAGATGTTTGCAACGCAGTGAAGGAGACGTTTCCGACCACATAAAGTATATATATTCTTGATCAGCACCAATAGCCGAGTCTATCTAGCCATGTCCGTCTGTCCGTCTGTCCGTCTGTCCGTTTCTATGCGAACTAGTCTCTCAGTTTTAAAGCTATCGCGATGAAACTTTCCCGAAAGCCTTCTTTCTATTGCAGGTAGTACATATGTCGGAGCCAGCCGAATCGGACCACTATATCTTAAGGCTCCCAAACAAATATAAGAAAATTCATTGTAACTTTGTAGGAAGTAGGCGTTTTGATTCTTGACTACTTAAAAACAAAATTGAAATAAATCGAAACGCTGCACCGAGTGAGTATTCTTTTATCTACAAGGGTATATAAGCTTCGGCTGGCCGAAGGTAGCTTCCTTTCTTGTTTAGTCTCAAGTAATTATGAAGAAACACTATGAAAACAGTGCGATAAAAGTGCGGACATCTATCTGGGAACAAACAATTAGATTTCCCATGCCACAAAAACTTCTTAAGGTTGATAAAAACGGCACAGCGATCTTATGACGCTCCAGTTTATTTACGCAGCTGTTTTGTGGTATAATTCTAATCAGATTATTTTCAAGGCGAAGCACTTCTAGGTTAATTTTACTAATATGGAACTGGATCCACAAACATAATATACTTTAAAAGCAAATAAAGTTGATAACAATATTTATTTCCATTCAATTACAGAAAATATGTTCATCAAAATTGAGGTTTCAAAATATCATTTGAATACTGAAATAACTCAATTAGAAAACCACTGTCAGGGAGATAACATCCCCTAATACATAACGAGGGCCTGGCCTCAGACCAGAAACTTTTAGAGATAAGGTGTCTTCCAATTGCAATATATAAGTCAGAACTTGTGGATGCGAGATTATTAATTTGCTTGACCCTCCGACCTACATTCATGCACTTTACGTAATAAAGTTTTGTTTAAAATTCTCATTTCATGGTGGGATATTTTGATGTTCCTCCAGAATCTCCTCTATTACACTTCCAGAACCTCCTCCAGAACTTCCTCCAGGTCTTCGTTTCGGTGTCCTCCTCGGTGTTCTTTCCGGGTTTCCTTCCTTTTTTCCTCCCATTTTTACTCCCTGTTTTTCTCCTCCTTTTCCTTCTTTTTTTCCTCCTTGCTTTCCTCCAAGCTTTAACTTCTCGTATTCCCAATTTTCCTGGCAGTCCTGACTTTTTTGGTAGACCTGGTAATACCTGAGGCTTTATAGGATCAAGGTGACCAGTTGGGAGGCAAAGGAGGAAAGTAGGGTGCCATTGCAAGCCTGGCCCACAATTCGGTTGTAGACTCATTATTTCACTCGTCTTTACTTGCGACTGAGTTGAACTATATTATTCATTTATATGCCGCATTAAGTGAAAT